TCTGGTACTTTGAATAAACTCCAGATGATCATACTGACCGATTTTTACGGGAGATTAGCACATCACTTTGATTTCAATAGCATTATGTTAAAAACAGGATTTTTTGGAGCCTTCTTGATTTTTCCAGATTTAATATTTTAACTGGTCCAGATTTTTCTGAAAATGACCTGGCAACGGTGCTTGTGTGTGTGAGAAAATTTACAAAAATAATCTATGGCAACCGGTGGAACTTGAACCCATGAATCCCATTAATTCGCTTCTCGTAAATCCTTTAGAATTCTAGACTTAGACGTATCTGCTTTTGAGCATGAGCATGAGCATGATTGACCGCCCACGGTTGCTACTCTGTTATTGCCAGACCAGCTGTAATTACACAGAGAACCAATAGACGATGCTTGGGACTAGCAATCATCCTCAATGTGTAAAAACTGGTGATCTCGAATTAGGCAATACCAGCGCCAGCCGCGCCTGAACGCAGGTCAAGAAAGGAATGGGTAGGAATGTGTTGACGTGACACTCGCTTTGATGGAAGCCGAGGAGTCCTCTGCACTTCCACGAGGAATCACAGGGATGTTGGGTAAGAGGGTTGGGTTTGCAGCAGGGTTCGTTTTGGTAAACGATAAGCTGAATTGATGTCCTAACAATTATATAACGCGAATGAGCTTGGGATTGAACCCACGGTCTTCTGCTCAGTAAGCAAAAATGTTTGCCAATAGGCAGACGAGCTCCTTTTTAATCATCGAGTTGCTGTTATTACCATGTAGTTATATTAACAAATAAAACGATTGACGAATCTTGAATGTGGATGGGCTTGAGATTAGACTTATGATGTTCTGCTTAGTAAGCAAAACCGGTTGCTCTAAGGCCACCGAGCACCTCATATCACATTATAGTGTTACTCAAGTTTTTATGACTATTCAAACCCGGCACCGACGACAACGAAAAGTTTTACAACATACACGATAAACAAGCGATCTTACCATACATTTTTAATATGAAAGGACCTGGGACCGCATTTTTCTGCTCAGTAAGCAAGCCACTGCAACCGACGATCGTTGAAATCCTAAAACTAAAAGCTACGAAAAAGTACGTACGTATGCCTTCATGAAGATCCACTTTCACGCGACGTTCAATGTTTCGATTTTCTCTTTACGTATGGTTCAGGCAATCATAACAAGCTATGACCAACGTGACGATTGTTTAGGACCTGGTTAAACAAGCTATTCAAATGAAATTACGTTCTCGAATTTCACTTGGCATGTAATGAACAACAGAAGTACGCGATAATTTATATTTTCAGCGGTTGATGGTTAATTTTAAATATACCAACGGTACTGCCTACGACTACGAAAGCGATTACGACAGCTACTATGACGGCGCCTACGACAACGACAACAGCGAATTTGTAACTCACCATTTGTCTAGGACTAACACCTTTGCATGGCACCTCCACTGGTTCTTCATGTCCGCTATCTGTCACTGTTTGCTAAATATCTAATAGCAATTACCTTTGTTGTAATACTTCCTGTATTGCCATGGTCATCTAGGAGGAGGGTCGCAACTAGTGCTTTCCCCAGGAACCGTTCACGGCCACCAGCTACCGCCCGTCCAGTCTTGCAAATCGCAGGCACACTTACGCTAGTTACAAAAAAAAAACAACACACACCCGTGCAAATAAATGGATCCAATAAACGTTTTTGTGATACGGACTTTCGTTCGAAAACACTTAATTTTTCAAAAATAGTTGCGAGTGAACCAACATCATCACCGCGTAAATAAACTAAAATTAAAATTATCACTCGCGATGCCACAAATTTCTGGACCGGGAGAAAAAATCAAACAACGCATATAGCGTTAAATCTCCTGTTGCTCCTGATGAATCATGTTTTCTTTCTCGATTCTAAAACTTCTCGGAAAACGAGAAAACCACCACTCACACACGTATAACCGTCCAGAAGGCAGAGTGCCAGCGCACAAAACAGGGAACAAACTTAAAACACAACCGTATCCAAAGGCGTTCGAAACTGCACTCTATAGACTTAGACGTATCTGCTTTTGTAAGCAAATATTCAAACGTAAATTTTTCGAAACTTTTAGCTCGCCCAAGGAAATTAACGCAATTTCTACTTCTCTCTTCTTCCATGGAATTCTTGTATGGAAATTTTCCTTCGAATTTCTTTTAATTTATTTTTTCAATTATTCTCAGAATACGATATTTTTTAAATTTTTCTCGGAATCCCCTTGAAGTTCCTTTCTAAACTTTCTTGAGTATTCCTTTGAAATTATCCTCGAGAACATCCTCATTTGTATCAAATTCAAGATTTATAAAAGAATTTCTTAATTTAAAATCTCACTGTTTACAATTCGGTTTAATGACTTATTCAGTCCAATAAAGGGGCTAAACTTTGGTGTAAATTCTGGGACTTGGACTTGTCGATGATATGAAGAATGGTGTTATTGCATGTTACATCATTTTCGTGACTCAAAGTGTGCTTTTGAATATTTTGCATGCGAAAGTAAGCGTCACGGAAAGCAATAACTCTGACATACAAGTCGACTTTTTTGAACATACAGTACCTAATATCAATGTATGTTGTCACCCTTTACTGCTATTCTTGCCTACTTTTCCTTGGTAGTCGCCCTCACGTATAATAAAAAAAAATGTCCATAACATTGAAACGCCTCCTACGTTTTGCGACACACCGCAAATTGCACCGCGTCGTAACAGCGGAACTGTTTCCTTAGTAGACTGCTACACCAGACAAGCGATTACTGTTTTTACCCTTCTTGTAAAGAAGGGTATACGTACCGGTTGAAAAACTGACTTTCAATTAGAGACCCGTTATATACCAACAGACTCAACTCAACGAGATCGGGAAATGTTGAATGTCGATCAAACGGTTCCGGAGATATGGCCGCAACATATTCCGCTGAATACGGATCTTAAGATCAGAAGCGACCTGAAAATGCGACACCTCAAATAACAACAAGATCAATGGCAGTCCGGACATGTTCCGGTACCCTCGGGGAAGATGCCAATTTCGGAATAGGGCCAAAACCCATCATGCGATACCTCAAATCACAAGATTACTGTTTGACATACAAAAAAAAAATATGACTATATTTGCCCCATCCGACATGTTTCGGGTACCCCCGGGGAAGTGGCCACTTTACGACTAGGGTCAAAACCCATCATGCGACTCCTCAAATCACATCAAAAATCGAAAACAAGATCAATGGTTGTCACGTTAAACACCTAGGACCACATTGGTCGCATTCGCATATTCCAGATAGCACCCTGACTGACAAGTGGTCAGTTTCTGACTAGGGTCGAAACCCATCATGCGACACTTCAAATTCCGCATCCGGACTTGTTCCGGGTAGCCTCAGCAATGTGGTCAGCGATAACTCAAATCACACGAGAATTTGGAAAATAAATAGCAATCGAGTGTCTAGGAATACATTTGCCACATCCGGTCATTTCGCAGCGCTGTATGAGTCAAAATCAAACATGCGATACATCCAATCGATTGTTTGTCATTCAAAATCCCTTGAAAGTTCATAATCAAAGTAATTCAAATTGATGACCACTTTATGTACATAAAGTATGATCCACTATGAATCCCGAAAAACTATATCTCGGGATTGATTGTAGCTGAACAAAATTATCACGAGATTTTGTTGAAAACCCGATCCATTACTTCTTGCACAGTCTACTACTGGTCAGCTCCGGCAGGCCTTAGCTGCCAGTTTGTAACAAAACCTGGACAACTCTGCAGCATCCCGAGTGACCTTGCCAGTCTTCTTCAACTTCCGCCTAATAATTGTTATTTTTTGATTGGGCGGAATTGGTCTGTTTCGATAAATGTACTCCACTGTCACGGTACCACTGAAATACCTCCCAGATGTAGTGACAGCTTGCCAAATCTGGCCAAAACTTCAAAGGTCCTTTGTGTGTCTAAATAAATGGTAGAATGCGTTTTTACAGATACTCTTTGTGGCAGAATCTGCGTTTTTGTGGTCACAACTTCAGATACCTTGTTAGATCATCAAATTTTAGCCGAATTTGATGGTAAAATCTATCTTAAACTTGCCGGGGTAATCTCCACGTGCCGTGACCATTTATTTTAAATTTAAGTGTTTTTGTGATTTATTTTACCGAGAACACACCCGACTTTTTGAAAACTTCACAAATCGTGACGAAATTTTCAGCATTAAAAGAAAAACACTTTCCAAATCACCTGCTGTCAAAACAGAAATCAAAACCGGCCACTAGGCGCGCACATATAAAATAAATTGTACTTCCGGATTCTAAGTGGATCATGCTTTAGGACTACATTTTCCCCCCTTGATTTTCTCGCCGTCGATCTTGTTTCCGTACTGTGAATGTGAGAATGTGATCAGAGATGTTATTCCTAAAAAAAATCCCGACGGCTCCGACTGGGATTGAACACATGCCCTTTAGAGTGAGAGGCAGCCACGCTTACCACTTCACCAGCGGAGCCGCTTCAGGACTACATTATTCACACACAGAAATGTTTTGGGTACCTTCAGGGAGGTGACCAGCATCCGATTTAGCCTAATACCTATCATGTAACGCCGCTAATCACAATTTTTACAAATTTAATTAAGTAAGAAGGGTTAGATCTCATCATAGGTGGATACATTCAGCTTTTTTATTGAGTTAGCACCTAAACAAATTCCGACGCGTTGCCCGTACAAAAAAAAAATAGCTTGAGGTATCTGGGCAATTGATATCGCCAGTGACTGAAACAAAAGAAGTTGACAACTGCACGAGCGACACTTACCAATTTTGGTATAATATTGTGGGATTGTTGGCTGAAATTAAGACTTTGTGTTGTGAAGGTGTTTGGTGGAGGACGTACTCAATATCGCTTTTAATGGACTGCAGGTTGCGGGACAGCTTCTTATTGCATTGTTCGATCTAGTTTATATTCCAGGTGATGTCATTCTAAAAATCTGTTTTTACTTACTTTCAGCTCCGGGAAGAGACAGCTGGGATCCAATGCCTTAGCTAAGTAAGTATCACACTATAAGTTACCTCATTCATAATTTCACAGAACACAGAAGTGCGTCATTTTGCCAAACATGAACTTAGGTTTAGATTCAGCATACTAGAGGTGAATCCGTTACAATGAACGAAACCAAGCCAATGTTTACCATCTGAGCTCGTAAACAATGAAAGCGGAACTTGCACTCAAATTGTACCGGTGTGGTACGCAAAAATGGTCACATACTTAAATGACTCGCACATTCACTTGCGATATGCGACCGCGTCAGAAATGTGTGCGTCTGATTTGAATGTGTAATACCTATGTAGGCTTTATTTTTTTTTTCGGCCTGTCTTTGAGTTTTACGGGGAAGCAAAAGCATAAACAGCACAGAAATCATCATAGTTGAGGGTTATGAAAATGTACATCATCTATTTTGAAAATCTGATTCCTTTAAAATTATTCTCAAATACATTTTTGAACTCAATTCTTTTTGTAAAAATTAGAATGTACACGTGTGTGTGTGTGCAAAAAAAAAACTACTGCCACCGGTGGTACTTGAACCCATGAATCCCATTAATTCGCTTCTCGTAAATCCTTTGGAATTCAAGGCTTAGACGTATCTGCTTTTGTAAGTAAAGATTCAAACGTCAATTTGTCGACACTCTTAGCTCGTCCAAGGAATTTAACACAATTTCTACTTCCCTCTTCTTCCATGGAATTCTTGTATTAAAAGTTTCCGTCCAATTTCTTTTAATTTTTTTTTTCAATTATTCTCAGAATATGATATTTTTAATATTTTCCTCGGAGGACCCTTAAAGTTCCTTTCTGAACTTTCTTCAGTATTCCGTTGAAATTATCCTCCAGAACATTCTCATTTGTATCAATTTCAAGATTTCTAATACAATTTCTTAATTAAAAAAAAAAGAATATCTCACTGTTTACAATTCGGTTTAATTACTTATTCATTCCAATAACGTTTTGCCCAGTGACATTTGAAATTGATTCTATTACTCAGTAAATTCTGGGACTTGGAAATCATGAGGTCTCAAGTTGAATTTGCTGTTGGAGTCGAGGAAATCACTTCAGGAATTTGGAGAATTTTAATTTTTTTTTTGTAATTGTTATAAATTTACATCATTACTTTGGAGATCTTCAGGATGAGGAGGGTTGAAGTATATATGCAGAGTTGTCATTAGGAGATTTAAATTCGTTTCAGGCTGACATGAAAATTAATGTTCATAAAATCACAATGTGTTTATTTTTTGACAAATTCTTATGAAGATTTCAAAGCAGATGGGTAAATTTGCCTTGTTTAATGAATAAATATCAGAATCGTTGTTTTAGCCAGGCTTAATCCGGTAGGCTAGCGAGTCAGATCAGATAACTCTTTCTTGGGCCAACAATATCCCGGATCATCCTGAATCGGATCCCAATGTAAACAATGGTCTTGAAATGAAAAATAGTGTATTTTATACTCAAAATCATTGTAAGTGTCCAAACGATCTGAATAGAGATTTTTCTTTTAAATGATTCTCCACTCCATTCTGATGAGTGTGTGAGTGATGACAACGTTTTGCGTTCATTACTACAATCTAAACGCTCTGCCCTCCGTTGCCATTTTTGCCACACAATGAAACCACTCGAAGTGGATCATATTCTGATATAGGAGGCTTATTGGATAGCGGAAGATAAAGTGTTTATTGTGCTGTACCTTTTTACTCTAGTTTTACGATGTTTTGTATAGTGAACAAGAATCCTCGAATAAACCAATAAACTAAAAGAGGCTCAAACGTCATTACCATCGTCGAAAATACAATCTGTTCCATTCCGCATAATGCAACGAAATCAAATAGTTCTTTCGCGGAATTATTGAAATTTTACGACCAAAGCCAAATATCGCGGAATTTAGATACTTTTGTCCTAAAATGTTACATTTTTTGGGCACTTCTCCCTTCATGCGGCTGTACCGCCCAACAGGCTTGTATGAGCTTGTACACACCGCCTAAGAAATATAACCGAAATAAGATGTGAAACATCAAGATAGTGTTTTTAAATGTGCTTTGAGTCATTTTCTACAAATGGTCCTTCAACAACAATAATGCCGGGTTGTGTCATTTAACCGCAGGTCGTTTCGTCTAAGGTTATTCTGCCGAATAGGTCATTCCATCAAAATAAAAATTTGACCAATTTTAATTATGAACTATTTTAAGTACAAAATATAACATAAACATAGCGGCTAATTTGATCTTCCCTTAGCTCAGCCGGTAAAGGCACAGATACAAAGCAATAACATGCTGGAGGTGGCTGGGTCCGGTCTAGGAATTTTCCGGGTTGGAAAATTTCTCGACATTCCTGGGCATAGAGTAGAGCAAAATTTATGTTTGTTAGCTGAGATCATGCTTGGCATACACAGTTTTGGTCACGAACTGCTCATTTGCTAATAACTTTGCACCACAGTTGACGGAACATAGTTCTTTTTGAAGCAGTGGATAGAATAGAGTGTTAGCTTGTTATAGATATGTAAAAAAGTAGATTTTAATGCTAATAGTAAACTGTATTTGTATTTGCGTTGTAAAAATGAGGTGAGAAATGCTGGGTACACATCTAGAAATTTAAGTGTTAAATTGATTAGTGTTGATTCAAATGCTAAGCTTTACCTAATCTTCGCATATCTATAGTAAACTATGAGCCTAATCTATCAATCACTTTAAAGAAAAATAAATTTCAACATCTGAGTGAAAAGTTATTACCAAATGAGCAGTTGGTGTGTACAACTGTGCATGCCAAGCATGGCTGAGATCTTGGCAAAATTCCCGTTTGTTAGCTGAATCTCGGTAAGTTTTTCACTGAGATCCAGCAAAATAAAATGCCGAGCTGCTCAGTGGTGCCCACTACCTCAAAAAATCTAAGTTCGACAAAGTTCCCTGAACTTTTTACAATTTTTATGATTTTCAGCGGAATTTCCTGAATTTAAGATAAGTTTTAAGAAGTTAAGAAGTCTTATGAAATTATTTTAAGTTCCCTGAAACTAAAAGAAGAACTTTTATGAAGTTTCTTAAAATCTACCAAAGTCCCCATAGCTTCAACGAAGTTTCTCAAAGCTGTATAAGGCTCCTTATTATACTTGGTTTTTTTTTCCGAAATTTTACAAAAGAACAATTTTTTTCTGAATTAGCTGAAGCTCTACGAAATACAATGAACTAATATTACATTTCCTCAATTTCTTTGATGTCATCTGAATATCTAAAAAATCCTCGTATTAACAAAAAAATATCCAATGTAGCTAAAAAAATAAACACTGAGCGTCTTAGAAAATTCGTGAATTTCTCTTAGCATAGCTTAGTTCTATGAATTTACACCAAACTTGCTGGTTCTACAAAATTCTCTGAAGTTCTACGAAGTACACTGACCTTCTACAAAGTTTAACTGAGTTTTACAAAGCTTGCTGAACTTTTATAAAATTTGTTGCACGTATTAAATGTTTAATGACCTTCTATACAGTCCAATTAATGTCAATAAAGTTTTTGGAAGTTCTACAACGTTTTTGAAAATCTTTGAAGTTGCTTGAAAATCTACATCGTTTCTTTTAATTTCAACTAGTTCACCGAGCTTCTACGAAGCTCTCAGAAATAAAATGTTGTTGTCTTAACTGTAATGAATTGCTCTTGACTTCTAAGAAGGTCCCTAAGCTTCAGGACAGGCTCTATTTTAAAAATCTAAGATATTGAACATGAACACCTTCCCTCGCCCGGAATTTTTAAAGGTATCGGTGGGCTAAATAATTCCCGCTATATGTCAAATTACACAGGTGTATGACAGTTAAAATTTGATGTATTATCTCTTCTTCTTTAAGACTACTAATTGAATTTTTGAATCGACCTTTTCAGATTTGTATGAAACTGTGCGTAATTGTTTATTATGGGCAATTTTTCACATTTTCGCTAAAATTCGACCATTTTAGACGTTGTAAAATTTACAAAATGGTGCCCTTGTAATTTAAAAAAAAAAGCTGTTGCACAAAAATGGTATTTCTGATCGAAATGACGTCATAGACAAAGTTGTAGAGAAACATAATGTTTTGCTGGGAAAAATAAACAAAGAATGAGATTTATTTATTTTAAGATAAAATTAAAAAAAAATAAAACCCCGAATATCTCAGAATGTTCTTGCCCGATATTTGATTTTTTAAAAGCTTATGAAAAATGCAAACTTTTGGATTGTTCAAAACCATGGACACTTATTATCTGAAAAAAATCGTAGAATAAGAACTGTTGGAAATTTTTGTTAACTTTTTATTGGTACGGTGTTTTGTTTTTATTTAGAGTATGTGAAACATTGTTTCTGAGTATAAATTAAATGAATAAATACTTTAACAAAATGTTCAAAAATATGTCCCAATAATTCTTGCTCTACGGTTTTGTCATTTTTATAGTGTCCATAATGTTAAATATCCCAAAAGCGTGTCTTTTGTATGAGTTTTTTTTAGTAATCAAAAGGCAGTCAAAAATATTTTAAATATTTATGATTTAAAAAATGTTATTGGAAATTTTACTTGAATCGACTACAAAAAGTGTTTTTTTCCCACAAAAACAATATTTTCCTCTACATCTTTGTCTCAGACGTCATTTCGATCAGAAGTGCCGTTTCTGTGCTACAGATTTTTGAAAAAATTCTAAAAAGCCAGAAAAATGGCAGAGTTTTAACAAAAATGTGAATTATTGCCCATAACAAACAATTAGACTAAGTTTCATGCAAATCACAGAAGGTTGAGTTTTTTCGATTCGTCATTTGGCGTGGAACTGCGCCTTGTGGAATGTGATGAATGCATTTAAAAAATGAAAACTCCAGGAGGAGGGGTGCAAAACTGAGAGTTTTTCAACTAAACAAATACCATGAGTACGGATCTGGGCAGTGCGCAAAACAGTCAGATTCATTGAGTCATTTTGATATGAATATGAACTGCCATCTACCTCATCATTCACTGCATCGTGAGAGTCTGAATGATTGAGAGGTAAACGAGTCAC